TGCCCTTGCCCATAATGAAGCCAGTTGGTAACCAAGTATCTACCAGGAGCTCTTGACCTAAGAGGATTAAAATATTTCATAATTGTTCAAGTTTCATTGAACTCATTTTCTAAATTTCAGTTTTGGTTGAAATTCTTCCATAAAAATTAAAGATCTATCCGGGCATGGTGGCTCACTCCTGTAATCTCAGCACTTTGGGAGGTTAAGGGGGCCAGATTTCCTGAGGTCAGGAGTTCGAGACCAGCCTGGCCAACATAGCAAAACCCTGTCTCTACAAAAATACAAAAATTAGCCAGGTGTGGTGACAGGCACCTATAATTCCAACTATTCGGAAGGCTGAGGCAGGAGAATTGCTTGAACCCCGGAGGTGGAGGTTGCAGTGAGCCGAGATTGTACCATTGCACTCCAGCCTGGGTGACAGAGCAAGACTCCATCTCCAAAAAACAAAACAAAAACAAAAAAATTTAAAGATCCTAAAGAAATCAGGCAAAATGCTTTCATTTTACACACTGTAACATCTTGATGAAATTTCCTGTATTATAAATGTCAAAGTACATGGGTCAGTGATTGAATGGTTTGAACTGTTCTTATAAAGTATTATTCACTAAATGACTATTGGCTGATATCTGCAATAATAGTGATTTCAGTTTTAAAGTAGATAACACTAGATAACAGTTACATTACATGCAGAAAGGCAATCGGGGAAACAAAAGCAATTATAATGTGAAAATGGCAAGAGTTAAAAAATATAGAACCAAAATGTTACTTGGAGTGGGTAATCTGTTGTGACACACTTTCTACTAATCCTGGCTCTTAGGATGCTATTGAGAGTCGGGTTTTATATGAACATGATCCGTAGGATAGGATGGTGGCAATCAATATTATGCTATGAATCAGAAGTTCTGGTGTGGCAGCAATGTGTGTTTTCACAAGCCTTCCAGGTAATTCTGACACATACTAACATTTGAGAAAACCTGGCTTACACTGTAACTACTTCCACAAAAAACACAAATTCCAATTCCTAAAATAAAGTTTAATACTTGCGTTAAAGCTCTCATTTTGCTTCTGAATATTACCTTCTTAGGATACCAGCAGGTATGACCATGGTTGAACAGACATGCTTTATGTCCTAATTCTCAAGTTGAATATTGGCAAGAAAAATAAATCCTGCAATTTGTGAAGGAACAGATTGCGCTAGAGTTAGATGGGATGTTTCAAGCTGAAAGATATATAATTGAGAATGGATTGAGTATTGCTATGTTTAAAACCGGGGTATATTAGGAGTTCTACTTCCCCTTGGATATAGAAAGCTGGAACTAGTTTTGCTTCTACCCTGACAACAAGAAAAAGCCATGATGTAAAGTGTAAAATAAAAAAACAAAATCACGACATTGGTTGAACACACCAAAGTATGGAAATCACAGTAGTCTGAAGTCTACTGAATGTCAGGCCCTTCCAAGGAAAGATGTGACAGTGGCAGACTACAAGAGGAAGAGATGTTGGTATCATACAGCCAGCTGAAAAGCATTCTGATAAAATTGGTGATGGCTTGGTGAAGGTCATGTGTGGATGAGGGGAAGAGGAAACTACAGACACGAGGGGAGCTTGTACACACTTGCAGATCCTTTTCCATGGACCTCCATCTCCTGCTCACAAGAACATTTGTGGAAAAAGCAGGAGGTGGGTGAGTGCCTTCCTTTGTGTTTCAGGCTTGAGAAAGGGAAGTGGTAACTGCCATGAGAAAAGTCTGAAGCCTCATTGTATTCCTTCTTCAGAAAACACAGCCTTAAGCCTCTGAAGGAGAAGCAGAAAACCCTGCCCCCCGACGACAAAGGTACAGAACCACTGCAGGCAGAGGAAATGTCAAAACAAAACAGACAAAACAAAATCAAACCAAAACCAAAACCACTACCCCTAGGGGAAGTCCTGGATTCACGATCAACTACCATAACATTAGAGATCTTCTACCACTAGGAGACTGAAAAGAAACTCTCTCCCAAGGAAGACTCATAAGATATATAGACAGAGTTTCACTGCCATGAAGAGAAGAAAAACTATCACTGAGAAAGCTCAACACCAAGACCCGAACATGCAGGGCCTGCCTAAGGTGGAGTCTGTACTGAAATAATAAAGAACCCTTTGCCTTCACCACCAGACTAGCAAGCACCAAGTAACAAGCAACTGCCATTTATCACTGATAAAGACAAAAAAGGGTGGAGAGGAACGATCGATATTTGCACTGGGGATGAACAGAGAAGGTACAAATGAAACAGAAGCATTGAGAAAACACCTCTTAAATCCCAGCCTCCACCCGAAGAAAAAGGAATTTGAAGCCAGTGGTGCAATGAAGATAATAATAGAACAAGAAAATCCAATCTTGGCTTAATTAGATCCACCTAACACCCTTCTTCATACACACAAATACACTAATAAGCTAACACAAGAGATGCATCCGTTTCCAAACATAAAGTCTTTACTATTGCACACATAATGTCTTATTTTAATAAAAAAAAAAAGAGACACAAAAGGCAAGAAAAATCAAACACTGCTAAGAGACAAAACAATCAACAGAACAGACCTGAGCACATGGCCCTTATGTTTATATCAAATGGAATTTAAAGGAACTACGAATTTAACATTGATAAGTTAAAGATCCTAGTGAAGATGCAGAGAATATGCAAGAACAGATGGGAGATTTCAGCCGATAAACGATGTTATGGATTGAATTGTGTTTTTTCTAAAATTAATGTTGAAGTCCTAACCCCCAATGTGATATGTTTAGGGAGGTAAGAGACACTGGAGCTCTGTCTCTGTGAATACACAGAGAAAAGGCCATGTGAGTATACAGTGAGGTGGAGGCCATATACAAGCTATAAAGAGAGGCCTCACCAGACACTAACCCTTATTAAGTACAACTTAATCTTGGACTTCTAGCCTCCAGAACTATGAGAAAATAAATTTCTGTCGTTTAAACCGTAAGTCTGTGATAATCTGTTATGGCATCCCAAACAGACTAACACAACTGGAAACTATAATAAGTGAAACTCAAATGCTAGAAATAAAGAACATGGTAATAGAGATAAAGAATGCTTTTGACAAATTTATCAGTAGATTCAAGACAGCCGAAGAAATAATTACTGAATTTGAAGATAGGTCAATAGAAATTACTGAAACTTAAACTCAGAAAAAAGGGCAAAAAATGAACCAAACATCCAAGAGTTGAGGAATAACAGCAAACAATCTAGCCCATAAGTAATTTGAATCCCAGAAGAGAGACAATGGCACAGAAGAATTATACAAAGGAATAACAACTGAGAATTTTCAAAAATTAATGACAGACCCCACAATACAGATGCAAGAAATTCAGATAATTCTGAGAAGGAAAAATACCAAAAAATTATTAAACAGAAACATACACACACATAAACACATACACCTGCATACATTATATTCAAATTGCTGATAAAAAGAAAATTTTGAAGGCAGCCATAGAAAAAATAATCACGAGTTATGATATAATGATAAGATTTACCAAAGAAGTATGGAAAACTATGTAAGCCAGAAAAAAATGGAATCATTCAAGATGGAGAAAGAAAACTGTCATCCTAGAATTCTATATGCAATGAAAACAGCTTTCAAAAGTGTTAATGTACATACTTTATACAAAATATAAAAATAAGTTCTTCAGAAAGAAGGAATATGATATCCAACAAAAATTTGGATTGAGACAAAGAAATATCTTCATGAAAATCAATTTTTCCAACTCTCTTAAGAAAATGAACTCCTTAAAAGAATGCAGCCTCTATATTTCAGCCCATAAGGCTCAGGAAGTTACCATAAGGTTGAGGGAATCATCCTCTCAATCAGGACCTTGGACAGGACTGGAGAGCAGTCGAGTTCCTCTAGTGCTGTCTCTCAGCATTTAGTATCCTTCAACAGTGTGGCTGAAATGAACTGATATCTCTGTCTGGGAAATCACTTACAACTTTGGAGATTGGAAGGACCTCCATACTAAGAATATGAATTTCTTGGCAACTGTCTCTGATTTTATTATAATATTGTATATAAATAAGGCCTTTTTATTGGCCAATAATATTCACTGAGGGAAGAGTCAAAACAAGAAATTTAAAAATTAAGCTTATGATTGGACTCATCTAGTGAGCTACCTTGGACTGGTAGACTCACTCCTCAGACAATTTTTGTCATTATAGTGCCTGCTGGGCTCTTTCCTGAGCCTTGTTAGTTGGCACTGCCTTTTGCTTCTAAAAACAGCATATTGCAGGAAATTGTTAACATTTCTACATTTCTATATTTTTATTTCTTTAGATTATACTCTTCAAACACTCTGTGGCCTATAATGAAATTTAACATTTATTATCAGGTTATTATTTATGACCAGGCCAGAATGCAAAATGCAAAGAATGCAAGAGGGATGAGACATTATACTCATATTTGAATTACTCATGCCCAATAAAATGTGGGCAAAATCCAAGGAAATCACTATCTTTGTACAGAGGGCAATATTTCATGCAAAAATAACATTCTGTATACCACAAGACAAAATTGATTCTATTATGAAAAAGACACATGTATATGGAATTGGTATAACCAGTAGAATATGTTATGCTGAGTTTAAGTGAATTATTATTCTGTGCTTTCTGGCAAATTTCTGATTTTTTTGTTTCTTCATTTATTTTCCAAATTTGAAAACATAATTACCAGTAATACATTAGGAAATAAAGACTACTGTTTTGCAGCAACTTTGGTAATGCCTTATAAAACATCCAGAATAAGAAACACTAGAGGAGAACAACGTGGCAGTCACCTTGATCTAGGATGTCAAGGATTTTAGTGTAAGGAGGAAAGCATGAGACAAAAAATCTTTTCCAGCTGCCTATGATTCAATTCAATTAGATAAACCTCCATTTTATTTCCTAGTGCTTGTAATGAAAGACAGGGGCAGTCAGCTTAATGGAAAGTAAAAGGATGTGCTCACTTACTAATTTGATTCGGTGGCCGGGAGTGGCGCTGATCTCCCAAGTGCATTCTTTCCTGCTTGGGTACTTGTCTGGCCAGTTGGGACTGGTGATGAGGCCACTTGGACTGTGGATCTTCTGTTCACACTCAGCTGCACCAATAACCATAATATCAGACAGTGTGGCAATCCAGCCCAGGTTTGAGGCAGAAAGCAAGCAGCCTATTTGCCCACTGCCATGCTAAAAGATTTCCTGAATACCAGCTAATTATCACTTCCGTGTCGCTTATCATATTCATCTGCTCTGGGAAATCTGTTGCTGAGCATAATCAGCCAATGTTTGTTGTCTGCCTCACATGAAATTAAGTATTTACCATAAATCAGATAAATGCCTAAAATAAAATGAACTTTTATTTTAAACTGATGGGTCTGTGGCTCAGACTTTAACAGTGCAACATATATTGACAGTCGAGAATATCAACACTGGATGTATTTAATCCAATGTCACAAACAAACATCATTGGACTATGCCATTTGCAATTTTTTTCCTATTAAAAGAAACATCATTTACAGCTAATTAACATCATGAAGGTACCTTTTGAATCACGTATTTACATTTTCTCTCTCCCTTAGTTAAATATACACTTGAATACCTGTATCATAATTTTAGCTTCTAAAATAAATTAGCCTTAATTTTATCAAAGCAAGTGGAAGCACTAAGAGGAAAACTAAATGAACAGCTATTAGCCCTGGAGATGCTTCTGAACTTCAAAGGATACCTCATTCAATCAGTATAATTATTTAAGGGTTTTTGTTTTTGTTATTGTTTTTGTTTTTCACAATTAAAATAAGCTCATTTTAGACAAGATCTTTCCACATGGTTAATGTTAAATTTCAAAAACACTTATTATCCTCAAGCTGTGTTCTTTCTATATAATTTAGGAAATTCTATAACATACATCCTTGTTTAGACTGGGATTATTTGTTATGTATTGTGTACATATAACTTTCTAAAATTTCCTGAGAAATACATTTGGTGAAATACTTTATTCAATGGAAAATACACCGGTTATACCCTTTGGGGCCACAGGGCAAGGGTAACATGCCCAACATTAGTTAGTGCACTTACTGTAGTTGCTGCTGGCCCCGCTGCTGCAATCATTCATACTAGACCTTCACCTTAATTGTGCTAGGTTTCCATAGGGAGATTTGTATTTGCAATAGAAGATTATAATAAAGTGGAAGGTAAAATTCAGTTCCTGTCTGATAATCTATGATTATGGTAGCAAGACATAGCCTTGAAAGTTTGGATCCAGTCATGACAAGGGTTTTCTAAATTTCATCATCCCTGTCTTGGCCTCGCAATGTGAAATGTGATCTCTGCAGGATGTGGCGATGACACTGAGACTAGGTTGAGAGGCTCGTTGCTAAAGTGTACATGGAGCATGTAATATAGTGAAGGTAAAAGATGATCCAACCCCTTTCCTGGCAATAGGACATGTTTATTAAGGTGCGTCTGCATGTTGTTTTATCTATAATGAAGTTTCCTATATCATTTATGTAATGAACAGAGACATATTTGCTACCTGTGATCCACAGACTACATGTATAATCTATAATCTATAAAAGCTGTCTTGTTTTTTTTTCTCTGAATTACCTTCAATGTCTGCAAAACAAAAAACAAAAACCTGGGCCAAGTGCGCTGGCTCATGCCTGCAATCCCAGCACTTTGGGAGGCCGTGGTCGGTGGACTGCTTGAGCTCAGGAGTTCGAGACCAGCCTGAGCAACATGGCGAAAATCCGTCTCTACAAAAAATACAAAAAATTAGCCAGGCATGGTGGTGTGCACCTGTAGTCCCAGCTACTTGGGAGACTGAGGTGGGAGAATTGCTTAAGCCTGGGAGGTCGAGGCTGCAATCAGTTGAGATCACCCCACTGCACTCCAGCCTCAGCAACAGAGGGAGACCGTGTTTCAAAATAAAAACAAAAACGAAAACCCCCAAAACCCACAAAAACCTGGGCCTATTTCCTAATCTATTGATTTAATAGCATATCGTATCTTACCAAGTTACAGATATTATGCTTATACATGAAAGCAGAGAAAGAAAAATTCCTGCTTGTATATGATTCTGCACAATGTCATTAGCTCAATGAAAAAAAGAAAATCCTCGACTTGTAACCATATTTCAAAGGAGCTGAATGGAACAAGGGTCAGCTCAGGATATTCTCTATTATTCCAATGTTTACACAAAACATTCTTATCTAACTGTGGTTAGAGTCAGGTACCTTCCAATGTACATATGGTGACTAAAGTTATAAAATTTGCCTTAGTAATTCTCCTCTCAAAACATGCATAAATCCAACTTAAGTAGAAAATTCGGGAACAGACTGTCAAAGGAAGAAATAAGAGCTGAATAACTATTTATTGTTCTCGTCTAGTTCATAGTGGCTAAGGGGATTAAGATTACTACTTTTAAAAAGTTGTGGAACTTTGTAAGGCCTTGGGGACAAAATCTGGTAGGGTATGATTGTGCTACTATTAAGCTTTTCTGGACCAACACCATGACTTCAAACTTTAAATGACACAGTATCTACCATTTTCAAATGTCTTCCTTTTGGTAGGCATTTGAGTTTGACACTCCTGGTATTTAAAGGGACATCACTTATGTAGCACATGCACAAGATATACAAGATATTTTTGGGAGGAGTATTACATCAAATGCAAAACATTTAGCAGAAGTTAAGTTTAACTATGCATGCTGTTATAAGGTCTGTTCCACAAAGACCTGGGGAGAACGTGGTGCTTTTCTGGCTACCAGATGGTATCCTAGCAGCTACTATGTCTGTTATACAAAGCTACTCTAATGCCACCTATATGCAAAGTACAGATCCAGTCATTTGCCTTGGATCTTTGAACATTACACAGAATTTTGTTTTTTGACATTTGGGTAGCCCACCGTGAGATCACTCATTGAAATGATTAACTCTACTTGGAAGCAGTGCTTTATCCAAACCACATGCAATTCTACATGTTGTCAAGAAAAGTGTATTCCTTTCCATACCTTCCTTGCAATCATGTTTATTTTCATGCAGCACAAATCCATTACGGCACTGACACACGTAGCTCCCCATCGTGTTGACACATTCGTGCTGACATCCACCATTATCCTTAGAGCATTCGTCTTTGTCTAGCAAAGAGATCAATCCCATGGTTTAGTAAGTCACTTTAAAAACAAAGGATATCAAAGGGAGTCATTTACTTGTGGTTAACACTGCCAAAGGGTAAACTAAGTCATGGTTTCTCCTGTTCCCAACATAAAACAAACAAAAATGTATGATCTCTTAGTTGTACCCTTTCCTTGTTTGGCTTGTAGTCTTGTACCATGAATCAAGTTTCCAAGACCATTAGTACTATGATAATAACTTGTAACCCTCTTTTATTCCTATGCTGGAGTAGAAGTTTTAGGTAGGAGAAAGAGGGAATCAGTAGATCTTTCTTTCAAATTAACCCTAAACATTTACTGCTAATTTTAAAAAATAAATGTAAAATTGTGCATAGTTTGAATAGGGGCAAGAAATAGCATTTAAGTAGAGGGATATCCTTCAATATATTAACCATGGTATTCAGACAGAGGCTAAACAAGGTTCCAAGATTTGTATGTAATCACTTAAAAAAATCACTCAGTATAATTACTGTAGTTGATTTTTTTCCCCCATTAACTTTGCGGTTATGCTTAGCATTAATGAATTTGGACATTTCATAGCATTCCAAGCAGAAAAAAGGCATAATTAAACTATTCTACAGAAGAAATGAAATTTATGTATTTTAAACAAATATACTGTGGCAGACACGTTTATTAATAAGTCATCCCCTAAAAGGGCTTTTAGTGTGCTAGAAGTAAGGTAAAGATTAGACTAGGAAATATGAGCCCCCAAAAATAGCCAACAAATTCACTACAGGGAAAAAAGCCAAACTAGATTAATAGGCAGTCAATTCGGTGAGGCATCAACCATCACTCATGTCACTCAGCTGTCATTCCATAGCTGGCCTGTCCATTAACGTCAAAACTGGCAGATTGTTCCTGACACACATTCATGATGGCACGTCACTCAGACTTTCATCACTCCCACACATAGAGAATGAAAAGGACGAGTTACGTCATATGAGGAGTTAGGCTGAATTCAAATTGGACACTCTCAGCTGATTTTGCTAGTGAGCACTGGCAAGCTCTTGGTGGCATAGAAATTATACTATTTTTGCTTTTTTACCAAATCTATATTCATTCCATGGAAAAATGTTTAGGGAAGGTATTTTTATCAAAGAATCTGATGATAATTTTTAAAGGTGCATCTATTTTGTCACATTTGAAGATTGATTACATAACACACACACTTACAGGCGATATGAATGCATTGGCACTATCTGAATATTTTAAATACACACAGGCAATCTCAGTTTTTAAAGGATATATCATCATTAGTATATTTGTGAGTTATGTGTTCTCCACCTATCCTTGACACTTCCATTATTCTTTCAACACTTACTATGGAGAATAAGCCAAAAGCAAAACAAAATAAAAGCAGAACAAAGATAATTATTCTGTGAAAGAGCATCAAACACCGAAATGTAGAAAAAAGTAGCAGTTAATAGAAAATTAGATTTGTATAATCAATTTTAGAGAAATTTAACATAATTTTGAACTCTTATTCCATTAGCTGTATCGACAGTGAGAATTATAGTTTATGAATTACAAATGACTTATACAGAACGGGTGGACAGTAAACCATACTTCCTACCACCATGGTATCAGCTGCCTGCATTTTCTAATGCAGACGGTTAAGCAATGAATTGCTTAAATTTGTTTTTCACTCTTACTTTCCAGAGGCTCTTTCCCTTACGAAGCTTCAGAAAAACGCTTCCTTATGAGTGAATGTAGAATTTATCTCTGCTAAATGGAAGAACCAATTAAGAAAATGCTGGTAACAGAATTATTCTGAAATAGACACATATTTCCTTTGAAAATGTTTATATAATGATGGTTTTATATACTTAATATAAGACCTGATAGAGTGAACTTTAGTTGTACCCTGGGTCAACCAGGGAGTAGCCTGGAAACCTAACAACTGTATGCAAAGTAACTTAGAGAATATTAGTTCACATTTGCAATTGACTGATAAACAGATGAACTGCTCAGAGACAAACAGTGAAGAAGCAGAGATGGCCTGAATCACCCTTTTATTGGTACCTATTTGGATTGCCATGCATGAAAGATACAAAAATGTTAAAATTCAAAGGTGAACACAAATGTTATTCAATAACACATGCATTATTGCTGTGTTTAAACCCAGTCATTTTATAATAAAAAGAATTCCAAAACATAAAATATCCCTAAACTCCAAACTTCATTCTAGTGGAAAGGTCATATTGCTCATATTTTGGAGTATAATTAATTTCAAGATCTATTAAAAAATAAACTGACCTATAGTAATAGTAACTAAAGAGACATAAAATACAAAATGAAACCAATTATATTTCCATGATTTTGTAGCCAACCATTAATACTCTTGCTGTGCTAAAAATAATAATAATAATAATTTCAGAATAATTTTTGGAAGAAGACAAAGCAGAGGAAGAGGAGGAACAAGAGGAAGAAGAAAAGAAAGAAGAGGAAGAAGATGAAAGAGAACAAATATAAGACAGGGAGGAAGAAGAGTTATTATTATTTATATAGTCATTATTCTCTAAGTATCTGTTATTTTTTACTTTCCCAATTTATCAGAGTTTCCTGCCTTCATTCGCACGTCTGATATAGCATAATTTAATTTAAGGTTGCATGAAATGAAAAGTTATCAGTTAGGCAGCTAGAATATACTTATAAGTTAGTCTAAATTTTAGCTAAATTCAAAACTGAACTAATCAAAATAGCATCTAAAGGCAACAGAAGAAAGTTATTATGTCCTGAAAAGTAGCATATAAAATTGTACCTCCATGTGTCAAATAGTCATATGAAAAGAGAAAATTTCAGGAAATCATTGGAATACTTAAAATTATCCAGATGTTTTACATCATGCAGACTAAAAATATTTTGGTATTTTGCACTATATTTTGAAAAATGTTTTAATTCATCTGCGGAGTAGTAAATATAGTGTGGTTGTTTTAAAATCACTTGTTTGAACAGGTGTTAATAGAGTATTCTAATTAAAGTGAATGCAATTTTGGATTTCTTATGTTGATGAGAAATGGCAACTTCATACAAGATAAGTTCTGCAAATATATCATAGATTTCTTATTTATGAAAGGCCATCAAACTTGGAAAAAAGCTATTAGCAAACATAATTAACTTCTGTTTTCACTTTCCATTTCTCCTCTTAGGACAAAAACTCTGTTTTGAAGAATACAAATCCAAGGAAAGAGAAAAGGGAGGAGGAGAGACATTTAAACATTTCTCATAATGTCTGCATAACACATTCAATAACTGAAATTTCTATTAATAATTTATTTGAAATTTTCTGGCATTTTTCATATACTAGACACAAAATAAAGAAAAAAGTGTTTTTCTTAGTGCTAGAAATAAATGTTTTATTGAGAAGAAACAAAAGCATTTATTTTCTGCAGATGGAAATTAGCCCCCTTCTCTGGAATGGACATGTCTGCTTTCCATTCCTTCATGTAAGATAAAGACAAGGCCCATCATTAGGAAAAAGGAAGGGGGTATTCTTCCATCAGAGGCCTGCAGCGAACCTCTGAGACTATCAGAGGTCATCAATCTATGAATGATACATACTGGATGGAACTGAAGTTGCAACCTGTATCAAGTTCTTGCAATATTCAAAAATAAAAATTTTCTCTTTGCAGAAAGCTTCCTTATCTGTAGGAAAAAGAAGTCAATTGTCCAAGCAACAGAACAGAAACATACAAGAGCAGGTATTCTCAAATTAAATGTTCAGGATCTGAAATAAATGGACACATGCACAGCACACACAGGCCCGACATAAAACTATCCAGTAAATAATCACCTACAAAAAAGCACCAATAAACACTAGGAGAGCTACAACAGAGATAATTTTCTGTTTCCATAAACATGCAGATATTTAAATATCATTAATGATGAAAACTTGGAAGCAGGATTCAAAATCATACAAGAAAGTTGTGTTACTGTGTGTAATTAATCACCTTAAAATTTTGTTAGAGTAGTATCATGTCGAATTTCATCTGCAAATATCAACAACCATTCCATGAGAGAAACAGTGGACAAGAAGGACGCTTACAAATATCGAGACACACTCACAGGAAGATAAGATGAGGAGCGTGTCAATTGAAATTACTTGAATTTAGAGCTAGAAAGATTGCAATGCACACATTATTTTAAGTGACTCCTCCATTTGTTACAGACAGATGAACTGGGAGTCGGAAAACCAGTTTTAGTCCATTTCTGTCCTTGAGCAAGTCCCTAGGCTTATCAGCAATAGTTAGATCACATTCCTAATAGATTTTTCCCCAAGGGAGACTGCTACTATTCTTCACATTTTCTGTTCTCGGAATTGCAGAGTCATAACTGAATCTTTTCATTAATAGAGGGTTGCCTATAAAAGGCAAAATGCCTATGCTCAACTCTCATTGCCTGAAGTCATTGTTATATTATTTCCAAATAATAAATGCTATAATTAAAATTTTAAAAGATGTCAAGTTCCCAAATGTGCTAATTTTTTCAGGTATAAAGTCCTACTAATATTTCTGTTATGCTTAACTCATTTAAAGAAAAGAAACTCTTCTGAGCGGAATACTCTTAGCTTTGCTTCCTGACTTAAAATTAAGTAAATTGCATCTTGTATACCTATGCAGACTTGCAGACTTGTGCTCAAATATGTCATATAAAATTAAGTTTGGTTTTACTATCATATCAACTAAATCATTATGGTTAATCTAGTAACAAATCTCATTCATTCCAAGAAAATAACACCAAGCTATCGTTGGACCATATATCTTCTAGAAAATGTCTATGCCACTATATTCTGAATTACCTGAAAATAAATAAAGCCACACATAATTCTATATAACATTCAAATGGTCTTATGTTGGCTTCCTAATTTCTTTATTTGCTTTAATATTACTTCATTGTATTGCTCTTTAAATATACCCTGGAATAAGTGTAGCATATTACACTGATTTTTACAGAGCAGCTTATAAATTATTTTGCTATAAAATCCAACGACTTCTTAATTTTTAAGCTATGGCATTTTCATGACTCATTTATTATATTTAGTCAGAATTGATAGATAAGAGTTTCTTAATTTTATGAGCATGGAAGTGATGTGAATTATTCTGCTAAAAAGTTCTTAGAGACATCCCTTCAATGTTATTTCTTAAATCTAAAAAGTGTTTGTTTTAAAAATCTGAGGCTATGTGCAAGGAAAGTTAAAATCTCTTATGCAATTATTTTATTAGACAATGATATGTTGAAAATAATACTATAAATATATTATTTCATTGTATGTTAAAACTTAAATATATTTGTCTTTTTCCTGATGTATCACTTAACTGAAAGAAAGCTAGAGTTTTATTTTTAATAGCTTTCATTTCCAAATACTATAGAATCACTTATTACCAAATATTATTTTTTACTATTACTGAGTTCCTTGAAAATTCTTAGAAGGGCCGGGCGCGGTGGCTCAAGCCTGTAATCCCAGCACTTTCGGAGGCCGAGACGGGCGGATCATGAGGTCAGGAGATCGAGACCATCCTGGCTAACACAGTGAAACCCCGTCTCTACTAAAAAATACAAAAAAAAAAAAAAAAAAAATAGCCGGGCGAGGTGGCGGGCGCCTGTAGTCCCAGCTACTCAGGAGGCTGAGGCAGGAGAATGGCGAAAACCCGGGAGGCGGAGCTTGCAGTGAGCTGAGATCCGGCCACTGCACTCCAGCCTGGGTGACAGAGCGAGACTCCGTCTCCCAAAAAAAAAAAAAAAAAAAAAAAACAAAAAAAAAACAAACAAACAAAAAAAATTCTTAGAAGTTCTTGGAAAAAGAATGTGGAACAAATAGCTGAACATGTTATATTCTATGTGAAGGTTTCATAAAGCCACAACTACTTCTGAAATTTTTAGAACACTGGCTATAAACATAACCACTTTAGACTATGTGTTTATAAAATATCTCTTGATTGATGTATATAATATATTAACATCTTTATTAGATTGCCTGTAATAAAATATTTGGGAATTTAACTCAATTCGATATGCTTGTATTAATATTAACTTGTAGTAATATTTATTAACTAATGAAGAAATAGGTGTCTATCAGGCAATGTTTGCAAACCAGAAATATTTGGCTAACAGTAATAGGTGGAAACATGATAGGAGTTTTTTTTTCTTTTAAATTTATTTTTATATTTTAATTAAAAGAAAACTCTGAGAAGAAAACGGAGAAAACCATAATGCATCGTCTTTCCACCCTAACCAAGCATTCTTGGTATTTTCATATGGCAAATTTCAGGTTTGTTCCAACCTGCATTCTTAGCTATCTAGACAGTGTATGCACTGTTTTATGCCCAGATTTCCATTAACATGTTACCACCTACAACATTTTACACCATGGAATGGCTGAACCATCTTTGTAGCACAGAAGAGTCCACAAAGTGCATTTGCCATAACTTATTTATGATTTTCCTGTTGTCACAATATTAGGTAGCTCCAAATTTCTGTCCCTATCACATCATTTTGAAATTCATTTTCCAGATTTCGAGATATTTCTTGATGAAAGAGTCCCATGAATGGGATTTCTGGGGCAAATGGAGTAGTAATTTTAATGACTCTTGAAATTTCATTCTGTAGAATTTGTGACAATAAATCCAGTAACACACTTTGTCAAAGCCCCCCATAGTGAGTTTTAACATTTAAAAAAAACTTAGATTTTGTTTGTGAACTATAGTATCTTTATAGTTGGCATACTTGCTTTCTAATAATGTAGTTACAGTGAATTACTTGGCTTTTGACATATGATTATATATTATCACACTGAAAGCATTATTAGAACTCTAATATTTGCAATGTGAACAGACATCAATTAAAATGGATAATCTTCTGTAAATTATGACTTCATAAGATCAACATAATGAGGACACTTATTCACCCAAACTCTTATTTTCTGCCATCTCTTGGTAATACAATAGCAATTTATTACAAACATGTTTTTAACCTTCCCTTTTCCTGGGCAAACATCTTTCCCGCTAACAGAAACTCCCAGGAAATTAAATGTGAAAGAGATCTAATCACTCATCCAGAACCATAGTATTTTAAACATCAATCTGACAAACAGCCAAGACTTTTTAATGATTCACAAAGTGAACCCTGAAAATTTATACTTAATAATAATTGTCTTGGACTTTACAAAACAATAATCTAATAAAGAAGTGAAAATTATATCTGCTGTTGTTTTCCAGGTCATAAGGAAAAGAGCTAATGCCATTTGCCAAGGTCATGATCAGTTCTTATGGTTAAGAGAATGGTCTTCAGACCAAGAGATACTAGGTTTAAATGCTCTTTAACATCGAGCAGCTTACTTAACTCCTCAGCTGCCTCATCTGTCATATAAATATGTGAATATAACAATATAAAATGAAACTTTGGGATTTAATTTCTTCATGAACTTCATTGTTCAGTTTAGTTAACTATACTCCATCAAACAACCTAGGCTAGACTCTTTGAAAACTATTGTCACGTTAATTGATATATATATATATATATATATATATATACATATTTTAAGTGCACTGATAAAAACTTAAAACATGGATGATTGTATGAAATCATCCATGTTTTAAGTATGCATCAGTGAACATGATTTACAGCAAGTTACCTGTTATTGGCTCAAGTACTACCAAGGTGCTCAGTTAATTTTACAAAGCACAGTTCCACAGAGATAAAGAATAAAGACCATATATGCTCATGTGGTAGAGAACAGTATCTTCTGCACAAGCCTTCAGAGCTGTATTTCAAGTAATTAAGGAAGCATCTCTTATATTTCAACAGTACTGTTTCTAAGGACATGAATAATCTGTTTTTATAATTTGGGAATTTTTTTCTTACCAAAAATATCAGAAAGCAAATTTTAAATTTTCTGAGTAACTAAATTTAATCATACTTTGTAGTCAGTATTTGTAGCATATTTCTTTTCTTAAAACAATTTAAAATTAAACATATGACTAAAGTAACATAAAGAGGATCCTGAATACATTATTTTTAAATATTATTTTAGATTCCTGTGGTACGTGTGCAGGTTTGTTGCATGAGAATATTGTGCAATGTTAAGGTTTGGGGTTTCTATTGAACCCATCACCCAAATAGTGAACACAGTACTCACTAGTAACTTCAATTATTATGACAAAAGTTATTTACTTCATAATTTCAATTTTAAAAATAAATATTTAGATAGCGCTAAGATAAGTAACCTGTCTCTACCTAAATGCTGGGTCACTTAAACTTCATAAAACACATATTATTTATAAAATAGTGAAGTCTTAAAAAGTCTTATTTTCATTAAAATATTAAAACTGTACTTTGAATAATATGAAACGTAAATGAATACCTGAGAGGCATTTGTAAAAGGTCATTTAAACTGGGAATAAAGAAGGAAATGAGAAAACGGGAGTCGAGGTCCATTGTATTCTGGAGGCAGTTTTCTGTATGACTTGGAACTCAATGGAGCTTGTGAACCATTAACTTCAATTACACTGAAAACCCCAAACAAACCCTGGACATTATAAATCTCATTAATTTTAGACACATGAGGACCAGAATAAATGGCCTTTGAATTAACTCAATCCAAATTACTAATATTAAAACATAACTGGAATTCAGTTGCTCTAAATTGCTTGCTAGTTGCAAAGACAGAATAGATTGCTATACTAAGGTTTGTTACAATTTTATCTACTTGGGAAGTTTCAGAATAATGTTTTTATAAAGTATGATGCTGAGATTGAGAAAAAAATTTTCTTGTTTTTTTTCATATATATTTCCATAAAATCTGGGGAGTTTTATAAAATTTCAGATCTTTAAGAAGGAAATTTTACTTTGAATTGCTTAAACTAAATGTTAAATTCCGAATACAAAAGTGCAAACCATTAAATACAGCTAACAATATATTATATTTAGTAAAATTATAATTTCTGTGTTTCTAGGTTTCTATATCGATGAGGCTAAGCACAATTTTAATATTAGCCTAATAATAATGAAAATATATGAAAATAGGAAGAAATACATTGCTAAATAAAAAGATACAAAAGTGTTGCTAAAATGAGACTACATTTTCCAAACACAAAGAAAAATTATTTTGAAAAATCTGCCCCTTTTTGGAGGTCTTGTATCATTATTTCCATCCACCTGTAGAGAACAAATTCACTGTATAAAAATATTACTATAATTAAAAGTGTTGTTTGTACCAGCCTTTATAATATCTGACTAGATTTTACGTAAGATCTAATTGTTTTCAGGCAACATTTCATCAGGGCCCCTCTTATTAATATCCTAATTTTTAGTAAAATATTACTAAACCTATGTTAAATGATAAGGCCTTCTTCTTCAAGTTGCATTTGCAGAAAACTATGAAAAATAGATCACATACAACTTAATCCAATTCACATTGAAAATCTGTAATATACACACACAACATGTGAATACTTTTACCTGAGAAAAAATGTGCTTTGAAACCCTTCTTGGACACAGTATTGTCAGATTTGAATTCGATCCTCATATTGTTGAACTGGGACGTGATCACTTCAGGCACTTCAGCGCCACAGAATTTGCCATGCAATTTAGACTCAGAGGAAAGACCACTCCAGATCTCCACATAATCATATTTGCAAACCTAGAAAAACATGTGGTTATCAGTTGCCAGATGTGTGAGTACAAGATGATTGACATTTAGCTTAGAAAAATGTATCTTGTTTTTCCCATTTTACTCTTATGGTAGTCAAACTAGAACTAATAGGTAAGGAAAAAAATCAGGTCAGACACAGTGGCTCACTCCTGTAATCCTAGCACACAACTACTAGCAATAGAAATAGCTCTTTCCATTGTAGAGATGAGAAAAATGAAGTTCAGAGATTTTTATACAGCTCGTCCAAAATGATGCTTGTCATACATACATGGCACTGCGGTGATTAACAACAAGGATTTTGACTTAGTCCAGTGCTGTCTCCCAGAAACACCACATTCTAATGAGAACAGCACTATTAGTAACTTTAAAATGAAAGAGGGATACTTGATGTATAATAAAAAAGATTATTTGCCTTTTAAACTTACTAACAGGACTGATATATCTTAATTTCTTTTTGTTACTGAGTGCTGTGAAGTTGCTCTGTAGGACTGCTGCAGGTCTGCAAACACATAGGAACACTATTCTGTGCAAAGAAGGTAAGAATTTATATTAAAATAAGATAGCCTCATTCAGATTTATATATAATATACCAACAACACCAAAATGGAAGAAGCTAAATGAATACCAGGTGTTTTTAAGCAATTTTACGGCCACTAACAGATGTTTCCATAATACACTTTTCCAAAGTTCCAACAAGGCACACGTTCAAGAACAAATCTTGCATGAACAACCTTATTACATAAATGTGTAATTAGCAAGGTTTAACAATGCATATGATTGAACCCTGGGGCATGATCTGTGCTTTGAAATATGTCAACTCAAATTACTGGTTCTTGTGATATTAATTAGGTGATAAATAAGCAAAATGCTGCTAGGGAAAATGAAATAAGTTTTCTACTGACTTTGTTACAATTGCAATTTTTGTTTGGAGAGTTCCAACATAGTATAAAGGACTGTTTCCAAGGCTAAAGATGTTGTCATTGACTTTCCTTTGCAATATCAATATAATGAATAAAATAATGATGTTTTAAGCGTAACCCATTATTCTGTAAGTCAAGTTTTTGCTCAGGCCTTTTATTTTAAATAGCTAAGTTGTCAAACTATGAACATACAGAGAATTCTGTAACAGCTTTCTACACAGTAGCACCATTATAAATTAAAGAACACAAGAATATGTGAACAGAGTTTGTAAAGAGCCATTCTATGAATGGTGACCCTAACTATGAGAATAATGCTTAAAGAACACAAAACCTTAGTTACATAAAACCATCTCCCCTGCTTTCTCCTGAATGCAGACCTCTAGACTTACTACAAATATCTATCAGTTAATAAATCAAAATGTCACACCCAACACAGTAATAGCTTGAGGGAAAATGATGGGAGTAGATGTGATTCAACACTAAGTTCATATCAAATCGCAGAATTTGCCATATGTAGAAAGCTGAAGCTGGATCCCTCCCTTACACCTTATACAAAAATTAATTCTAGATGGACTAAAGACTTAAACGTTAGACCTAAAACCATAAAAACCCTAGAAGAAAACCTAGGCAATACCATGCAGGACATAGGCATGAGCAAGGACTTCATGACTAAAACACCAAAAAGCAATGGCAACAAAAGCCAAAATTGACAAATGAGATCTAATGAAACTAAAGAGCTTCTGCACAGCAAAAGTTCATCACATTTCAAACTTTAATTCTCTTTAAGGGAACATAGAAGTCAGCTACCTCTTTTTTACCCAAAAGCCACTAGTAAAAAGCTAAAACTTCCTTGGTTACTACAAGTAGAATTAAGAGGAAAGAAAAATAATTAAAAGGAAAGAGGCCAGGCGCTATGGCTCATGCCTGTAATCCCAGCACTTTGGAAGGCTGAGGCAGGCAGATGACTTAAGGTCAGGAGTTCAAGATTGGCCTTGCCAACATGGTGAAACCCAATCTCTACTAAATACAAAAATTAGCTAGGTGTGGTGGTGCATGCCTGTAATCCCAGCTATTCAGGAGGCTGAGGCAGGAAGAATTGTTTGAGCCTGGGAGGCGGAGGTTGCAGTGAGCCAAGATAGCGCCACTGCTCTCCAGCCTGAGCAACAGAGTGGGACTCTGTCTCAAAAAAAAAAAAAAAAAAAAAAGGAAAGAAGGAAAAGTAGGCAGTAAAAAAGGAAGAAGCAAAGATAGACACACAAAAGCAAAACTATGGTATAAAACCCACAAATACTACCAACAATTATTGCTTCAGTGGCACAGATACATTACATTTCTGTTCTCTGATATACATCAGAGACAAAAGTGCCCAACTGACATATATCAAAGACAAAATAATTTTTGTGGGTTAATTTTATTTTATGGATGAATAAAAATCATGTTCATTTAATAAACATCAAAAACGTTGTTGGGAAAAAGGATGCAAAGGAAGTTAGAAAAAGAAGAGAACGTACAGAAGATTAAACAAAACAAATGTTTATAACCTTTCCTCTGGAATTAAACCAGTATTGACCAGTCATACAAAGGACATTTTTCTAAAAGTTTCCATTTCAGGCTTGACATTCCATTTGAATTTGATGTGTGTGTGTGCACTAGCACAAAGGAATTTTCAAATAAATGATTTCACTTGTTTAAATGTAATCACCTGACAGAAACTGTACCTTTAGTAGAGTAAGCTACATTCTGTATTAAAAAAAGGATAGCTTTCGATAAATACATCTTTTACTGAGGTTAAAAAATTAATCTTTCTTTCTTTGTGAACTATGAGCACATTCATAATGAAAAGCTATGTATATAATAACAATATACCCATTTTCATAAGTAAAATATGCCATGTTCTTCCAAATGATATTTTTGTTATGACTCAGCCAGAGGGTTTTGGTTTATTTTTTCTAGAAGTGTCTATGTGACATGAAGGTAATCCTAAACACTCCATAGTTATTTAATAAATCAAGAAAATGGTAAATATTAAATACACTAAATAAAAACTCCCTCTAGGTAATCTTCAATCTTCCAGAAAGAGTCTAAATTATCATCCAATGCCAACAAGATTCATAAGTAGTTGCAGAAATGAGCAGTAGGACAAAGAAAGAATACAATGTGTATACTATTTTACTACATCTTTCTTTTTCTTCTTCTGTTTCTTTCTTTTTTTTTTTAATTTGACAATTTGCCTTCAGGGAGTTCCAAAACATGATTTTTAAAAATTACAGTTATTGTTCACTTACTTCATTGCCTTCCAATTCAAAAAACTCAAACTTCACAGAAATTCTGTACTGGGTTGGTGCAACCACTTGCCACACACAGTTCTTATTAGGAGGATACTCCTTGGGCCAGCCGGGGGTGGTTATGGTGCCATTAAGTTTGGTAAGAAGTCCACCACAAGCAGCTAGAAGAAAAGAAAAGAAAAAGTTATATTCTCCCCATAAAGTCACCCACTTCTTAGCACCTGTCCATTAATTAATACCAAAACACCTCAGCACTAAATTTCAACCATCTTCTGGATTTTAATACCCAGAAATGGCAGTCTCTCTTCCTTGGTCTTTATACAAGTACTGTACTCATAAAATCTCATTTTTAAAGTGTTGTTTTGTAGCTTAAGAGCCGAGAATATTATGGCCGTACTAAATTTTAGTAGCTTTAAAGTAGGGGGAGTAATTTAAAAAGATGAAAAAAACCTGGATCTCAGTTTTCTTATCTTTAGAGTTGGTCTAAGAATATCTTGTAGTGCCTTGGCCACTGTAGAATTAAGGAAAATAATATTTTTTGTCAGAATTGAGAAGGGTGTTAGGAGATTTAAGGAAAATATACATGTAAAGCATGATATAGGCTGATGTAATAAAACTGAATCAATTGTTCATTTCCTCAAACTTTTTTTCCAAGACAAGTAATTCAATATTACCTGAGTTACCGGACAAGATAAATTAAGGTAAATAGAACATACTTGTTATTCCAAAAAGTCCCATTTAAATACTGATTTTCTTTTGAAATAGATCTATGATGATTTACTTTTAAAAGGTTCTATTTAAATTTCTTCTCTTCCTTATTGACAGTGAAATTAGCAAAATCATGGTATCTAAAAGCAAGCTGAGTGAAAAGAACATACACTGTACACTGTTGATAATTAATTCCTAAGGAGTCAAGAGTTACCTAAAATAACTGCTCCCTTTTTTGTCTTTGTGCCTGTGTGTGTGTGTGTGTGTGTGTGTGTGTATACACATATACATATATGCTATATTTGAGTACATACAAACACTACCTGTACATTTACCATTTTCTTGGTAAATTGCAATAAAGTATTTCTAGTTGCTCCACAAAAACAGTAGTCTTGTTATTTTTTGATTGTCTCATATACAATGTCCTCTTTTAAAAATACACTGCTTCATTACTAGGTCTTTTTTATTCTGGTAAAGGGGGAAAATTAGTGTTTAATAGGTGGGATAGAGAATTCTGGAAGTCAAATAGGAAAGTTCAAACTTTTAAAAAGAAACAGGAAGTCTCTGATTTTTGCTGAATAGGTCAGCAGAGGGGTATGCATTAAGTAAATAATGCTTTCCCCTTTGCCACTTATTATATCCTTTATTACAGGTACAGTAGAAAACAGGTGCTCATTTTCAGAGGACTAACATTTTGGAGGGAGACACCAACAGTAAGCCAATAAATACATAAATATAAATAATGTTAAACTGCTACACATTGTATGAAGATGTACTTTGCCGAAATTTTTAAAGAGGAATAAAGGAGGAATAGACTGGAGGAAGAAAGATCTTCCAATTCATCCTGCCTGTAATAGCAGTATGGGGCCTGTAATAGGATGGAGGTAGGGAAACTAAAAAAGAGTTAGCTTTAAAATCTGAAGGAAGAGATCATAGGTAATGATAACAAAACATTGTATAAGGAACCTCATCTTAGAATGTAAATAGGAAATGCAGATAACCATGACAAATATGTCTTTTAAAAAAATCAATCATTTATTGATAAAACACATATTTATATCCTGCTTTATGCCTGACTGTGCTAGATGTTAGAGATGTACAGATGATTCTGACTCAGGACTTCTCATTTTAATAAGGGAGACATGCCTATAGACTATATTAAGAAAAGATAAAAACAAATGATGGATGGATGGATGGATGAAGAAATGGGAGGATGAATAGATAGATAGATGGGTGAATGAAATTCTAGATCTAGATAGAGAAGGAAATATATCTAGATATATTAACATACATATACATGGTGGCCTAGTATGACAGATGAACGAATGAATGATGGTAGGATGGATAGATAAAAATCTAGATCTAGACAGAGATAGTTACAGATATATTAATATATACAAACACAGTGGCCTGGTGAATGGATGGATGGATGGATGAAAGGAAGGATGGATATAAAACTAGGTCTAGATGTAGATTTATGTATAGATGAATCTAGATAGAAACAGATATAGATAAATTTATTTATATATGTGTATATATGTGAAATGGTTTGACTGTTTCCCCACCCAAATCTCATCTTGAATGATAGCTCCCATAATTCCCACATGTCATGGGAGGGATCTGGTGGGAGGTAACTGAATCATGGTGGAGGGAGTCTTTTCCATGCTGTTCTCACAATAGTGAGAAAGTCTTACAAAATCTGATGGTTTTATAAAAAGGAGTCCCCTGCACATGCTCTCTGGCCTGCTGCCACATACGACGTGCTTTTGCTCTTCTTTCGTCTTCTCCCATGACTAGGAAGCCTCCCCATCCATGTGGAACTGTGAGTACATTAAATCTCTTTCCATTATAAATCACCCAGTCTTGGGTATGTTTTCATTAGCATAATAAATATGCTAATGTGTCTGTATTAGCAGCATGAGAATGGACTAATACAGTGTGTTTTACATATGTAAACAAGGTGATCTGGTAGTCAAAGGAGGAAAGGATCCATTCTATAACAAGAATCCAGGGGAGGTTTCACATCAGCTGTGACTATGAATTGAGTCTTACTAATTGAGGAAAGAGGTCACTATAGGATAAAGGGAAGGAAAGTGGAAAACAGATAGAGAATGACAACATAAGAAAGAAAGAATTGTGGGGGGTGGGGGTCCAGGAAGGAGTGCAGTCATACCTTCACAGCTCCTCCTGTCTGGGCCCAGCTCATAGCCAGGCTCACAGGCGCACTGGTAACTGCCCAGGGTGTTCAGACATCGTTGCTCACAGCCTCCACGGTCAGGCTTGGCACACTCGTCTTCCTCTATGAAAACGGTCATAGTTACAGAACAACTATACATATATATATATGTATGTATGTATGTGAAATGGTTTGGCTGTGTCCCCACCCAAATCTCATCTTGAATGATAGCTCCCATAATTGTCACATGTCATAGGAGGGACCTGGTGAGAGGTAACTGAATCATGGTTGGGGGAGTCTTTTCCATGCTGTTCTTATATATATGTATGAGGGTGGAAATCTTTCTAAAAAACTACCGTGTTAATGGTTCCAAATAAAATGGAAACAATTCTTTGCTTCCATTGCTTCCATCAACAAAGGAGCAGGAACAACATATCAGCCTCTGATGGATAATGTATAAATTTCATGTTGCTGCTACCTAAGCGTTGTCAAAGAACCCAGAGAAGGCCTGGAAACCTATAGCTGGGCCAACTGAAGATCACTTTATCTCAGACTCAGTGTGTGTTTTTCTGAATTTGAAGTCAAACGAGGATAATGAAGCCTAGGCTTTTTTCAGAATGAAATTTAAAAACTTACTAAAAAGCATAGCTTCAGCAATGCTGATTTTACATTATAACTTGATAGAAATATCCGCAAAAATTATTTTAAAGAAATGTCAATTATTAAGAAATAGATTGTGGTGAACATAAATTAAAAAGTATAAAATTCAGAAATTGACTGGATCTCTTTAAATGTAAACATTGTGTTTCTTATATAGACATTTTGCTCCAGAAAATATGATAACCCCATATTTTGATAAATATATATATACTGTATAATTGTATATTGAAACACAAAAATATACATAAATTATATATAATATATACTATTTTTAAAAATGTATATGACAGGATACTCTATAATCTCACTCTTCAGGAATAATCTAATGTGAGACTAATAGTAAACATTCTCTGAAGAAATTATGCATCAGCAATACACTAAGGATTTTGATAAATAAATATACGAATATCACATGAAAGAAGCTTAATAGCATGTTTCTTCTATGAAATATATCACATACAGAAAATTTCAAACACATAAATGGAGACTTTAATGAATTCTTTTAATACCTGTAGTAAAAGTGCCAAGTTTTTCTACCTTGGAATTCCTATAATGAATAAAATAGCTCCCAGGGAAAAATCCACTATACTGTTCTTCTTTAAATTATGGCAATATTTGCATATCTGTCACTCTAAGTTTTGCAATACACAATTGAATCCTTTATCCTATCCTATATCATTTATCCTATAAAAATCAATATGGAGGAAAATTTTGTTTTCTCTTCCCATAGAAAAATTTTATTCTATAATGACACACAACATAAGTGTCAATGAATTTCCTAAATCCATATGTGATGTTAACATTTTCACCAAAATACTTGCTTTCTTTTCACCTCACAATACATACAAAATATGGAACATAAGAATAAACTGAAATGTAGTTATGCAATTCAAAATCAAAGCTGATCAGAGATAATTGTTTGTCAAAAAGACATTTTAGATATCAGAATATTCTACTAAGGGGGCCATAAATTATTTCCAATGTGGGGGAAGACTAGTCTCAAAGGGAGTAATGCTGGCACCTGGAAACAAATAGATAAACTTCATGTCAGTAACCTTCTTCTGTTCATGAATTCTTGGTTGGTTATTTGCATTACAAATATTTTCTTTCTGTCTGTATATTCTTTTTTGGAACTTGCTGTTTTGACTATTTCATAAAAAACAAATGGTAGAATATCCTAATGGAATCCCTATCCTGTGCTACAAAGTTCTAAACTCTAGTATTTTGTTAATAACCTTTTCTATCAAAACTCTCCAAAATACCCTTATTCATATTCAACTTTCAATACAACTTTCTCTAGTTCTCCCCTAACTCAAAGCTAAATGTTACAATTATACTTGATAAAGAAAATCTCACATTTGAAAATTATTTCAAATTACCTTTAAAAAAGTTAGCAGCAAACCCTGCTTTGTTCACAGTTCCATCAGAAACAAACTTCATCCACAAAGTATTGGAGGTAGATCTTATATCTTCAGGTTTGTCGTAACCACAGAAACGCCCTATCAAAGGGCTATTTTCACTGGTTCCATCTCTAACTTCCAGGTAGTCATAAGCACAGTTGTCATGCCTTTCAATCTGCAACAGAAAATAATATGTGAACATATACGTTTATAGATAAAATATTTTCTGTAGGAGGTTAGATGTCTTCTCAGTGCCATACTTTTGATTTGTTAATACAAAAAGTTATTTGTATCAAATGAGTATACTTGAATGTTTCTCATGAGTGTACACTGTAATAGCCACGAACAAAGAATGTTATTCTAGTAGACAGGGAAGGATAAAAAATAACTATGAAACAGTACATTCACATGAGTCAGGATCAACAGAAATTAATTGCCTTTTAAAAGAAAATTAAACTACAAGTAGGAATTCTTCATTTAATAGAGGCTGAAAAAATCCAAAATTAAAAATTATCACTAAAAATCAGGGCCAGATATGCTGCTACAATTAATATATAATTTCTTCTGAATCATAATTATAAAAATTGCTCCACAGTCTTTCAATAAAATCATTATTTTATTCCTAAAAAATTTGGATTCAAATTCTCTGCACAAATGTAGCACTATTTTTGGTTATAAATCTCTTTTTGAAAGGCAAATCTGATAATATGGGATTACTGTTCTTCCTTAGTCTATTGAATTCTCTCTCCATAATTAACCTGGTTGTGTAGAGAAAGACTACTACATAGTAGAATCAACAGTGGTTTTCTCTTTCCCAAGGAAATATGGCCTTGTTTGGATGAGGCTTTTTACCTCAACACACTCCTCTCAGCCCAGATAATCAGGGGAAACTCAATCTCTTTCTTTAAAAACTGAATGCAAATATTAGGTCAGACTACTGGCCTATGACACTTTATGGGGGAACTACATGTTCATGGACCCATGTTTCAGCCCTGAGCTTCTAAAAACAAACCAACAAAAAAATCAAAATTTATAAATTGTTTTAAAAATTGTAAGACAATTTTTATGTAAAATTCTTGCTTTTCACCTTTTACAGAAGTTGACCACTAGAGTTAAGTCTTCATAGATTCACCTGCTTATTAGATATTTAAAACTAGAAAGCAAAGACATCTACAATTAAAACACTATGAAAAGTATCAAACGTTGTCAATTATCACTCAACATACAATTCACTAGTTTATGGAACTCTGTTACTAGTGTTAAGGAATACACAGAATGTCATGAAATATCGGGGAATGTCCACGGAACTGCAACTTGAACACATGAAACCATGAAACTGCTGGTATAGTTGGTGGAAAAATCTGTTTTCTGCCTTATCAATACACTAACAATAATAGTCTTCAAATTAGATGGTATAAAGACAAACAAACGAAACCACTTTGAAGCACAGATTTAGTTAGAACCAGGTACTACATTTGCTGCTTCCTAGTCACAAAATACTCAGTGCCTAGACTCCACTAGGCACTCTCCCTGCTTGGTATGCATCATTCAGAAAAATGTCAAATAACCTTGTCCTCCTGGTGCTTGCATTCTACTGATGAGTAGCCAGAAAAGGAACAATAAACAAAATAAATAATTAAATCATAAAATGTTAGAAAGTCATCAATTCAATGGAAAAATAGAAAGCGTAGCAAGGTAAGAAGTGTGAGAAGATGTCTATGGCCTTACCAGATATGATCTGATCTCAGAAATTAATTAAGAACAGGCCTAGTTAGTATCAGGAGGAGACAAGTATGAGAAGTTGGGTTGGGGAGAGAAGGCTGTAATTTTATGTTAGGTGTTCATTGAGTACCTTTCATAAATCCATATTTTTCCTAAAAATAAATTCTTTGGTGGGTGTGCAATTATGGGAATAAATGGAAAATATTTATATAAAGAATATCTAATTTTAAAAGCACTTTTTAAAACTGTAACTCAATTGGTCACCGGGGTGACAAGCCCAATTTGGCCAAATATATATATATATAAAATATATATGAATATATATAATATATGTATATATTATATATACACACACATATATATTTTATGCACACACACATATACACACACATATTATACATATATAATATATACACACACATATTATACATATATAATATATACACACACATATACATATATAATATATACACACACATATACATATATAATATATACACACACATATATTATACATATATAATATATACACACACATATATTATACATATATAATATATACACACATATATTATACATATATAATATATACACACATATATTATACATATATAATATATACACACATATACATATATAATATATACACACATATATTATACATATATAATATATACACACATATATTATACATATATAATATATACACACATATATTACACATATATAATATATATAAAACCTCTTATCTCAGTCTTTAACAGAATCCCTTCAAAACCAGGGTTCTCTGTAAATATGAGAACATTTCCAGACGGCCAAAGGCTGTTCTTGGTCAAGGGGACAACATAGAAAATAATATATCCGATTTCAAGTTGTAGAGTTTGATAACAGAATAAACGACAAAAGCTGTAAACAAAATAAGCAAAGGTCTTGGCAAACCAAACTATCCTCCCCTGCTTAAAGCAGCACAGAATGAACTGCACCTGATTTACAAATCATATTGGAAGAGGGGTGAGAAAGAATGAGATAGAAAACCACAAGAATTGAGAATACACAATGAAGGAAGCAACATCTTGTACTAGAAGGTCCATTAATAAAAATAATATTACAGCCAGGCGCAGTGGGTCACCCCTGTAATTCCAGGACTTTGGGAGGTCTTGGCAGGTGGAGCACATGGTCAGAAGTTCAAGACCAGCCTGACCAAGATGGTGAAACCCCGTCTCTACTAAAAATACAAAACAATTAGCCTGGCATGGTGGCGGGCACCTGTAATCCCAGCTACTTAGGAGGCTGAGGCAGAGGATTGCTTGAACCCAGGAGGTGGAGGCTGCAGTGGCTGAGATCGCGCAACTGCACTCCAGCCTGAGCAACAGACCTAGACTCCAACTCAAAATAAAATAAAATAAAAATAATGATAATATTACATTGCTTCATATTAGAAACCAGGCTACAGTGTAAAAATTAAAAAGGTTAATTACAAAGGGTTTCAATTACTATTTAAAGAATATTATTATTAAAAATTATGGTACTAACAGGGAAGACAGCATAGCTCCCATTGGAAATGAAACTCAAAATTTCAGATTTATTCAATGATTAAAAAAAGAAATAGGATAATTTATATTGCCTGGTCTATAAAACTCACTCTATTCCTTTAATAGATATGCAATCATTCACTTTACATTTTAATTTACAGTGAATTCACTGGTTACTTAGTAAAAATTGGAATTTTAACTATTTTATATGATACACAAAGAGTAAATATTTCACAGGTAAAAATAGCTAATTATAGGGTTAAATTCACTAGTATATATTTATGCATTACATATTATTTACACATTAAATATGTACCTGGTATTTGGGGTAACAACATTTTCACATAGTGAATGCCACAGATGTTGAGTTGCCTAGAAAATAATATGTGCCTCATCTACACGAATTTATGATATTTGGAAATACATTATATCTTTACAACAACAATTCTAGACATCTCATCAATTACCTGAATGGTCTTCAGTTACTGATTTTTCCAGTTTAATCCTAAATGCAAGGCTTGCACAGTGAATTTGCTCCATTTTTACTAATTATAATTATACTTCATCAGCTACATCAACACATGAGTAATAACAATGAGCACAAATGAGTGTTTGAGTTACTTTATTTGTGTCATTTGTGCAATAGTTTCTTGAGCTATATCAAATTACTTCATCAATTAATATATGGAATGGATAGAAATAAATATGGTTGAAACTAAAATGTGAATCAAGTCTATTGATGTTATGCCAGTAACTTTAAGCTTCATCAGTAAAAGAACACCAAAAGCAATGATTTATACAAAGAAAGAATGAAAGAGAAAGAAACAAAGAAAAGAAAGGAGAGGAAGGAAGAAAGGAAGGAAGGAAGGAAGGAAGGAAGGAAGGAAGGAAGGAAGGAAGGAAGGAAGGAAGGAAGGAAAGAAGAAGGAAGGAAAGAAGAGGAAGGAAGGAAAGAAAGAAGGAAGGAAGAAGGGAAGGAAGGAAGGAAGGAAGGAAAGAAGGAAGGGAAGGAAAGGGAAGAGAGGAGAGAGGAAGGAAAGGAAGGAAGGAAGGAAGGAAGGAAGGAAGGGAAGGAAGGAAGGAAGGAAGGAAGGAAGGAAGGAAGGAAGGAAGGAAGGGAAGGAAGGAAGTTAACCAAAAGTGGTCAACTTCTCATTCTAAACCTGCCAGCCTGTACATAGTTTAGTGGTCAGTGCAAGTGGGTGAGCTCTGACACTGAAGGAAAGTCAGCCCTGGAGGTAGAGGTCAGGCCCAGGCTTGGGACCCACTCACATGCTTGCCTTCATTTGATAACCAAATTTCCAAATCAAAATACCATTGCACAAATATCTATTGCAGTATCTACTTATTTATAAAAATATCTGAACACTTAGAAATTTCTAGATAATAATCTTTAGTAAAAGGTATCCCATGCTCCCTAAAAAATTAAAAATAGAATTACCATATGATCTAGCAATACCACTTCTGGGCAAATACCCCAAAGAATTGAAAGCACAGTCTTGTAGAGATATTTGCGCACATATGTTCATAGCAGCATTTTCCCAATAGCCAAAAAGTGGAAGCAATCCACAGGTTCATTGATAGATGAATGGATAAATAAAATGTAGTATACACATACAATGGAATAATATTCCACCTTAATAAGGGGTACCTAAAGTTCTCTAATTCATACAGACAGAAAGAATGGAGGTTGCCATAAGGCGTCAGGGGAAGGAGGAAAAAATTAGTGTTTTTGTGTGATCGAGATAGTGTTTCAGCTTTGCAAGATGAAGAGTTCTGGAAATTGCTTGACCTTTTCTGATCTACTTAACACTACTGAACTGTACACTTAACAACTGGTTAAGATGGGAAATTTTATGTTATGTATATTTTACTATAATCAAATATAGCTCTCATGACTGTTACAATGTAGCTTTACAAC